CAAAATGTAAACGAACAAGTTTGGATCATTTCCTCAATATTTTAATTATGGGTGTATGTTTATTTTTGCTTTGCTTAATAAAATAATTGAAATTATTTGATGAAACATATAATGTTTATAACTTTTGGCGAAATTATTTTATTTATTTTTAAATTAAAATTACAATATTATTGTAATTTATCAAAATGATTTGTATTATTGTAATCAATTCGTTAACTTTCAGATTGTCTTATTTTTAATAGCAATGTGTCTTATTTGTACGATACTATGTGGAATTCGAGAATGGACTGTTGAACGGAATTTTGCTATTTATTTAAATTTGGACAGTTCAATCATTCCAAATTACAAGGAACAGTCATCGAGACAGACTTTCATTTTATCAATTCTCATGTTCTTGTCATATCTTATTTTGCTCAATACTGTTGTTCCTATTTCACTTTATGTTAGGTAAATTTTATTATTTCTTTAACTTATTCCAATTTAGTTATCTTCATTACTTCTTGAATTATTTAAAAATTAATAAAATTAAAAGATATCAATCTAATTTATTCTTATAATATACAAAAATTGTTTCATGTTTCATCGTTTCATTGGTTTTTCGTTGGAAATTCAAATTGAATTATAAGCAATTGATTCATTTATTTCCTTCCCTACTTTCTTACTTATTTGAAGCATTTGGGAAGCTCTTTCATCATTTAATTTCCAAATATTGCAGTGTTGAAATAATACGATTTTTTCATTCAATGTGGATTAATTCTGATGCTGAAATGTATTACGAAAAGGTATTTTGTTTCTTTTCAATTAAATTGTATTTTATATTTTTCATTATAATTTAAATATTAGTTACAATTTCATATATTTAACATTTCCCTTTATTTTTTTTTCCAGGGTGATATTGCTGCATGTGCACGTACCACTACGTTAAATGAAGAATTAGGCCAAGTTCAATATATATTTAGCGATAAAACAGGAACTTTAACGCAAAATACGATGGTATTCAGGAAGTGCTCAATTAATGGACGTAGTTACGGTGATATATATGATGCTAATGGTGAAGTAATTAATATAACGGAGGTTTGACTTGTTACTAGAATTTATTTTAAATTGTATATTAGCCAAAATTTTAATTTTTGTTAAAGAATGATAACACTTTGAAATAAAATGTTATTGCTCATTTTAATTTAAGATATTTGCGCATTGAATATTTTAATACTTTAAATCTAGTTTTTTTTTTTTTTTCAATCACATAACAAATTAAGAGATACAATCAAGGAATCATATTAATTAAAAAAGTTAAAATTTCTTGATAAAGTATAAATTAACATTTATAATATGTAACATAACCTATGCTTTATGCATATGATGCATGTTTAATTAAAATTTATTTTTATAAAATTAGAATTTATTAAACAATGTAACAAATTCGCTTCATTAATATTAGTATGAATGAATTATTTGTTACTTGAAGGAAACACCGACGATTGATTTCTCGAAAAATCGTTGGTTTGAACCGAATTTCAAATTTTATGATGAAACATTATTGAATGATACAACCAAAGGACTTTACGAAGTAATCTATTTTTTTTCTTGTCACTTGATTACAATTAAAATTTTACAAGTCATATGGTTCTTTCTTTTTCATGATTTCATTGAATTAGCTTTTGATGAATCATTCTGTTTCAATAAACAATATTAAGGTAGCAGAATTTTGGCGACTTTTGGCTCTTTGTCATACTTCCATACCGGAACAGAAAAACGGTCGTTTGGAATATCAAGCACAAAGTCCAGATGAAGCTGCTCTTACATCTGCCGCACGGAATTTCGGATACGTTTTTAAATCACGTACGGCTCAAACTATCACACTGGAAGTAGCCGGCTCTGAAGAGGTCTTTCGTAAAATATTTATGAAATTAATTTCAAAAAATATTGCCATACCATGTTGCAATGCCATTAGACAAGCAAGTATATAATTAGCATACTTTAAAAGGATTTTTTTTTTTTTTTTAAAGGTGTATGATCTATTGGCAATCCTTGATTTCAATAATGTTAGGAAACGAATGTCAGTAATTGTTCGAAATCCTTTGGGTGAATTAGTACTTTATTGCAAAGGAGCAGATACAATTATACTTGATAGGTTAAAAATTTTTAATTTTAATTAATTTTTCTTTTGAACATTAATTTAAAAAATATCGATTTACTTTCATATCAAAATTGCTAGAAAATATATTCATATACTGAATTGTTTAGCATTCAGGATATCACACGATACGGAACCATTATTGAAAAGTGCAACAATTCAACATCTCGATAAATTTGCTGCAGATGGCTTTCGAACATTATGTTTAGCTTATAAAAAAATTAGCATTGATGTTTTTAACAAATGGCATGTAAGTTTTATATTTGTAGTTCGAATTTTAATTTCGTTTAATGTTGCTAATCCCTCATGAAATTCTAAAAAATAGTTTTGGAAACTTTTTTACAAATAATTAGTTATTATTTTAAAACGTTTATTTTAATTATTATTATTGTTACAGGAACAGCAAAAAGAAGCAGCAGTTGCATTGACGAATCGTCAAGAACAGTTAGATCGAGTGTATGATGAATTGGAACAAGAGATGACACTTCTAGGAGCTACAGCAATTGAGGATAAACTTCAGGATAGTGTTCCGGATACGATAGCAGAACTTACTCGTGCTAACATTAAAATTTGGATTTTGACAGGTGATAAACAGGTATGATAATTTTAACGATCATTACTGAATTGATATTAATGAAGATTGAAAAATAGTGCTTGATATATTTATGGATTATATTTCAGGAAACGGCAATCAATATCGGCTATTCATGCAATTTGTTAACGGAAAATCTTCATGAAGTCTTCATTATTGATGGTGAAACGGAACGTGAAGTTGAAGTGCAACTGAAGGATGTACGACGACGAATCGAACAAACACTTGGACCGGTGAATATTTCATTTAAACTAATAATACATTTGCTTCTGTATGACCTTTAATCCTAGTTTTTTTTTTTATTATTTTTTTTTTATTTTCGATATAAACAAAGAAACAACTGTAAATGCATGCGTATCACAAAGTTTTTTTTTTCTTATTTTATTACTCAAAAAAGAAAAATTAAAAAAGAGAAAAATTAAACGCGATATGGTTGAAAAATTAAATTCCGAACAGAAGTTTACCGAAAATATGTTCAAAAAATGACTATTGTAATAAAATAGAATGTTCAAAAAAGAAAAGAAAAGAAGTGAAATTACGATTAGTAGAATAAAAATTATTTCATACTGCTAAATGAAATGATGGTGGTGATCCTGGTATTCCAGGGGGGGAGAAAAAAAAGATTCTGGAATAAAAATGGTGTTTGTTACATTTTAAAGCTGTCATCTATGAAAACAAGTGCTGTTTGTATTCAACAAATAATAATCAATATGGAAGGGGCTGAAAAGCATGAATATGTAAATTGGATCAGTACTTTGACAAAATGGATTCTTTGTACATCAATGATTACTTTCTGTTCGGTTTGTGCAAATGCACCACTGGAAGATGTTCCGATAAATGCTAAAAGGATACTGGTAGATAATATAATATCAACTGATACTGCTTTGTCAAATCAAATTTTATCAATTTATCAACATGCTAAAGGCTAAAATTATCATTAAGCTCACTAATTATTTCACTAATCAAATTGTTTTGTTTCATCTTAACATTTTTCATTTCATAAAGTTTAGGATGCGTTCATGTTAAGTATGCATGCATCATGCACTTTCTTAATTATCTAATTCCTTGCTATTTGATTTATTATATTACTAATCATGAAGTTACAACAATATATGAAATGTACACGATATAATAAATTCAAATTAAATGATTAAACTGTTTAATATGTTCGAGATTTTTATGATATAGTTGAATCAAATTTGCACACAATCAAGTGAGAAATAGGTCTTAAATTAAAATAGGATTAAAAAGGAATTCATTGTTGTTTGTTTGTAGCACGATTTTTTTTTTAATTTTTTTTTTTTTAACTGATCATTCTGTTGTTTATTTGCATTGATTACTGGGGAGTTTTAATGTAATCCTGAAAAATGAAAAATAAAACAAGCAAAAGCAATTCAGGAACTCACATATGATTTTTCATATCGCATCGCATTTTTCCCGAATGATTTTTCACCTACAATTGCTATTAACCATCACTAATTCTGCTAGTAAAATTTTATTGAATTGAAATTACATAAGTTCATCAAATTGCAAATTTCAGAATGCTTTATTAAATGATGGAAAATTTGCTTCTCAATATGCCAATAATGGTGTCACAGATAGCGGTAATTTACGATCTGATGATATGGAAAATATAACTTCCATTCATGGTAAATAGTTTCAATAATTTTTATACCATTTATAAAATTGGAATAAAATACAGGAATAGGATGTGGCTGTTTTTTTTTTTTTTTGATCCATTTTGCATAATAAATTACATAAAATGAATAATATCAGTCAATTTTTTTTTTCTTTTTTAAACCAAATAATTTTTTTATGGGGAATATTTTTGAAATTAAAATTGAATTGTTTTGGCTTTCAGAAAAAAATACGGAAGTTCAAGATCATTTTGAAGGTGATGAATGGAAAAATTTAGAAGGCTATGCATTGGTCATTAATGGACCATCATTAACGTATGCATTAAAAAGAAAATTGCAAAGAACATTTCTGGATATTGGATGCTTATGTCGTGTAAGTATTGGTTAAATTTGATATTTTAATCATTTCATATTCATATTCATATTCATATTCATATTC